CTTTTCGTTGTAAACGACAATGCAAAAAAGAAAAATCATGTAGACAACATCGGTTAGTAATTTTCTTTAATTAAAATGTAAAAAAAAAAATTTTTATGTAGATGAAATCGAATATGTTGTAATCTTGATAGTCATCAATGTGAATTAATCTGCGGTAAAATACTTAATTGTCGTATACAGTATGCATTTGATATAAAACAAAAAAATAATAATTTAATATATATTCTTTTTTGTTTAGTAAATGTAAAGAATTATGTCATTTCAATTTTTGTCATACTTGTTCATTATTCAATTAGGAAATAAAATGTCATTGTGGTGAAACAGTTCTTAAACCCAAATCTAAATGTTTTAAAATTCTTCGAAAATGCTATTTTTCATGTAAGCGAGCACATGAATGTGGTCATCCTGCTAATCATTGGTGTTATAATGATGATAAATGTCCACCTTGTACACATCCTGTTTCAAAATTGTGTGTTGGAGAACATATGTCATTTGATGTAAAAAATTTGTTTTATTTTTTATCAATCATTAATTAACAAAGATCTATTTCCTTTTAGGTTCCATGTCATGTAAAAATAGTATGCTGTCGTCAACCAAATGGTAAATTTCTTCCATGTGGAGTTCATATACATGTCAACGTTCATGCCATTCTGGTTCATGTCAATCATTTGATCAAAAATGTACACAACGATGTAATATAAAACGACATAAATGTGGTCATAAATGTAATTTAGTTTGTTATGGATCTGAACCTTGTCCAATAACAACATGTGAAGCAATAATTAAAGTTCGATGTCCATGTGGTAGTTTAGAAAAAAAATGTTATTTGTAATACAAAATAAAATGAAGAAAAAAAATGATATTTTTAATATAAAATCAAATCAATTTTAATGAAAAAGATTCTGATTCTAATTTAACATCACATATTGAAGCATTAAAAATTTACATAGAAAATTCAATACTTGCACGAAAACGACAACAACAACAATTAGAATGTGATGATGAATGTCATGTTATACAACAAAATAAAAATTTAACTCAAGCTTTCTCAATTAATCTTGATGAACTACGACAATTACCAACTGTTTATACAGATTTTTTACGTGATTATGCAAAGAAAAATTTAGAATTTATTCAAACTATTGAACGACAATTAACTCAACTTGTTGAAGAAACTCAAGCTGTTCGTCGTTTAATACAATTTTATTCGTTTACACCAATGAAATTTCATGAATGTTATTTAATTCATCAATTAGCATCATTTTATGGTCTTCAAACACAAGCAATGGATCCTGAACCAAATCGAAAGATTGTTGTATGTGCATCTTATGGCATATGTAAAATTCCATCAATTACATTAACCCTAGTAGTACCAGCCAAAGTCATTTTTAACCCTGTTTAAAAAATTTAAAAATTCATTAGGAATATTTGGTTTTTTTCCAGTTTTTAGAAACAATTAGCATCCCTTACGAATAAAGTGTGGCTGTGGCTTTGGCTGTGATTGTGCATGTAAGTCTTCTTATCAGCCTTACCCACACCCCACACCCTCGCATCTGTTGGATTTTCGTTCAAAAACCTCGAAATTTTGAACAAAGATATCCAGAATGCATTAGCTATTGTCGATTATCCTGTGGCGAAGAAAAATCCATCAGAACGAAATGAAAATTCTACTCAAGCAAAACGAAAACGGTGTTCGGTTTGTGAATATTCTACGGGCAAGAAAACTTCAACTCAATGTAGTTGTTGTTCTGCATTTGTTTGTGCTGAGCATTCTGTTAAGCGTATTTTTTGTATTACTTGTTCTAAATAAAGAATATCACTTTAATGATTTTTCTAAAGTCGAAGATGAAAACAGCATATTTTAACAGGAGACCAATCCAAAAGTAAAAAAAATTGCTTTATGAAAATATATGTTGTCAGTATAGTGCGTAAAAAAGGCCGGTACTACTAGGGTTAAGTGAAACAATTGTACCTGAAAAACTTTAAATAATATGTGGGTGGGTGTGGGTATGGGTGTGTGGATGTGTGGGTGTGGG